ACTCGATCCACTGTACGCCGCAATGAACCGTGCCGGTTTTTTATATTGTTTATTTAATTATTTTAAAAGAAGGATCCATTAAATTTTCATCCTCGTTTTAAGAAAATGAACATTTTAGTTACTTTAAAAAGGTCAATGAAGCTGGCGAACGAAACCCTCTTAAGTATCCTTTTTCAAATGATTGAACAGAATGCATGCAAGCTATCGTGCAAGAAAAAAACCAGACAAAATTAAAATAATGCTTCAATTAAAATTATGTAATAAATTATTCAAAGGTTCGGTGGTACAGAAATAAGCGAGACGAGAATAAAATTTTACTATTATGCGAAGCTTTTAACGAAAACAATCCTGTATTACGACAGGTGTATGAGTTGTTACCTTTGTTTGAAAAACAATAGGATTTTATAAATATTTACGTCCATGTTGCGGTAATTAGTGTCCAGTTAATAATCAGAGTCTATTAAACAAGACTTGAGCACCGAGTTCTTCATATTTGCCACATTTCTTATGACGACGAGAGAAAATCTCAGTCCCAATCATGCCCTCTCATTTCGTTTCAGACTCTGAATTCTATTGATATCGCCACATGAGGGAATGTTTTGCGAACATTGCGGCACAAAAAACGCCTAAACATGTCAAACCAGAATTGAGGGACTCGGAGAAAAAGGCGCATACGTGCAGTTTGTGAAAAAAGTGTGTTAGGTATCAATTACTTCAACTGAAACTGGTCTTAGAATATATTTTAATGAAAAATTCACTCCAAGGTTCCAATTATTAAACATCAAGGAGAGAGGATTGACTTTCTTTCCGCTATTAGCCTGCAAGTTATTTAGGATGTTTTGCAATTTGCAGTTGACAGGGCTGCCACTTTATTTGGGGACTCCAAAACTGAAAACACGGAAACCCTGCTAATGTATTTGCTCCCTATCTTTGCATGGAGAGTTTGTTTTGATGTAGAGGTAGACTCTCAGGGTACGGTGGGATATCCCCTCCATTTTGGCCTCAACTTGAGAGCTTTTTTTGAGCTTGGGAGTTGATTTCAGAGAAAACCAGTGGCACCATCGTGTTTCTCTCGAACTTTTACGTAAGAATCAACAGTCAAATCGCAAATTCCTCACACATGCAACATCGCCATTCGGTGAACCGAAAGTCCAACTTTATACGGGCTTATAACGGCAACAGTGCGCGATTGATTACAGACGGAGAACTGCGGTTTTTTGGGAATGATGCAGCATTACAAGTATAACAATAAACGAGGATCCAAAGCCGAAACCGAGAGGTTGTCCCGCAAAGCCGCAAGTTTCGGCGCTTAAACCGTGCGCCCGCTGCCCGTTGCGTGAAGACGGCGGCCTTAACCCAATAGATGGAAATTTCAGACTCGGGCTGTCGCCTCTTAACGGTCTCGCCATTGCCGCATGCCGTGTGCCCTACCGCATTTCGCCTGGTCTGAACTGCCGTGCTAAGGAATAACGCCGTATGAACATTCAAGAGTTGCCAATTTTCCTTCGATAAAATGATTATTTTTGAGGAAAATTATGAATATTTTTCCTTGAAATTTTCAGAGGTTCTAGATCGAATTACAAACAAAATTATTTGAGAAATTGTTAGACATACATTCAAAAATTTCCCTGAAAATTACTGATTAGACGAATTACTGACTTTGAATTACTGATTACTCGAGGTAGTTTGGTAACGCCTGAAGGCTCATACGGCGTTTTTCCTTAGCACGACAGTTTACTGCTATGCTGAGGAAAAACGCCGTATAAGCCGTCAGACGTTGCCAAGCTCCCTTTGGTAAAAACCAAATTTACCAGGAAAATTTTGGATATTTCCCCTCCAATTTCTAAGACGATTTTGTTCGCAATTTGATCTAAAAAACTTAAAAATATTACGAAAAATATGCATGAATTTTCCCAAAAATTCATGTTCTACCGGAGAAAATTTGACAATTTTCGAATGCTATTAAGGCGCTCTTCCTTAGCAAGGCAGTACTGCCACCCTGAGTAAAAACGCCGTATGAGCCGTCAGACGTTGCCAAGCCTCTCCTGATAAAATGAAATTTCAAAAAAAACTTGTAGAGTCCCTTTATACTGAGAGTAAAGACAACGCGAGTCCATTTCTGATTGGTTCCCGCATTTTAAGCCTTTACAGTGTTACAAATGGGAATGAAGACTACATTTTCACCAATTGCAGAGATCATAAACTGGAATGGACCGGGGAATTGGGGGTACAGCAAAGAACAAATGGAATGAGAGAGAGAATGGAGACAGGAATTCGGGAATGGGTTCATCAAAAATTACAAAAAACCTCCGATTTTTTGTAATCTTTATTCCCGTTTGTGACATCCATGAGCCGCTTTGTCTCAACTATCTCCATGAAGGGACTCTAGAAACTTAAATATATTTTTCTACCAATTTTAATAGATTTATCTCGCACTTTAATCTACAGGATGTGAAAATTTCAATGAAAAATATTCATAAATTTCTCCCAAAATTAATGTCTCAAAAAGGGAAATTTGACAAAATTTGGATGTTCATACGGCGTTTTTTCTTAGCACGGCAGTATATCCGACTGAGCTAGATGCTCGTGTAACTGGACTGAATTTTCCAATTTGGAACTATAAATCTGACTCTTCTGGAAAAACACTTATGTGCATAGGGAAACTAATGGCACATACGTTGTTTTTAAACCGGGCTGGAATTTATAGTCCCAAATTGCAAAATTTAGTCCAACTGATTGATGAAATAAGAAAGATCCTTGAGGCCCGAAGACTTTCCAGTTTGGAAAACGGTCAGAAAATAATGAGAAAGATCGGCTTCATTACCCTGCTGAAACTGACTATGCTGGTGTCATGTTGAAATCATGTTGTTAACAATATAGGCATCAACACAGGTGTCAACATAATACCAACTTGGTCTCAACATTGCCCCATGTGGGTACCATGTTCATAACGAAATAAATCCGTCAGGAAGGCCGTACGAGAATATCTCAAATTGACAGAGCAGTTATTTTATTCGCATTCATCCTATGTTGATAAGATGATGGCGTCAATGTGGTTTACGTTGATTCACTCACCAATACATGACCGAAGTGCAAAACCACATCTCCGTTTCCGACTTTCTTTCATACTATAGGTATTTTCCCTCGGAAAACTAATAAACGTAATTTCTTGAGAACTTCCTTCAGTTTTCTTCTGTGCTAGCAGAATAGATTCTGTACAAAATTCAAGCTACAAAACTGACTTTTTTCTATTTATAAAAAAAAAAAAAAATTGGAGCGGAGATTTTGAAACACCGGAATTGAGATACGTGGTTTTGCAATGATAGCCATCGATATAATTTGGAGACCCTGCACTGCTCTCTTCCTTAGAGTGTAAAAGTTACTTTCGGAGACCGACGCTAAATGTTTCGTCACAATTTTATGTGATTTTTTTAGAATGAATAAAAAAAATATAGAAAATTTCAATATAAACTTTTGGTTGGTTTTCCTTAAAAAATAAACCAAGAGTGGAGATTTACAACGTCGCAATCTGAGATATGCATTTTTCGACTTTAGCCATATCAGCTTCCATCGAATTGAGATAACATGATATGAAATGCCACTAATAAATGGGAGTGTTGTGTATGTTGCGTATTGCCAAATTGAAGGGGCTCCCAGCTCCCTTTTCTAAGTCCGCTATGAAAATTGCAACTTCATTGTTAAAAATTGGAGGTTTATTATAAAGATAAATATTTCTGCTACAAGTTGCTACTTAAGGAAAAGGTCTATTGTGCCAAGTAAAATTTGTACTTTCAAAAACTAAAATTTTTCCTTTTCTTTATTTTATTATTACGATGCATTAATTACAATCTTACAAGAAACATTAACAACCTTAAAAGAAAAAGTTCCGCTCGAAAACGACTCAATACCGAGGGAAAATAGTTGACCAAAAAATCAAATATTCCAAAATTGATTGATAATCAATTACTCGATTGAAAATGTTTTTCTAGCATTTTGTGAATCGACGAAAGAGAATTTTTCACCAAAGTTGATGCTTTTTTTCCCGTGAGCAATAAGATTTTCCTAATTTTAAAGATGCGTCGTTTTTGCACTGACCGAAATCCGCAGATTTTAACATTGAAGGAGATCCAAAAAAATATCTTAAGTGAAAAAAACTGAAAAGTTGCGTCGGATCCTAAAAATAATTTTCTTCAATAAAAATACTTTCTTAAAATTTTCCGTGTCTCTGGTCATCTTCGAACTACACTTCACAATTCAATTACAAAAAAGGGAGATGAAACAGGGGACATGCGCCTTTTCTACCAAGTACCTACTCTGCAGTGCTGTGGAAAAACACCGCATGACCATTCGATTGCTGTTAAATTGTTTTAAAAAATTTCATGTATCTAGAAAAACCGGGGAAGAGGGGCTCAGAGTTTTATTCCTCAGGAAGACTCGACGTTAAAGTCAAATTTTAACGACCAATTTGCCGTTCAAAATATTTTTTCCGACTTTCAATTTTTGACTGGAGAAATCTAACAACTATTTGACTCTCATACCTTTTTTTTTAAAAAAAAAAAAAAAAAAAAAAAAAAATCGACTTGGCGAGTTTTTGTTTAACTCGGTAGGTACAAATCGTCATGTTTCTTTTTGAAAAAAATTAAAAAAAAAAAATATCAAGGCGTAGGTGCGAAACCACTAGCTCCATTTGCGACGTTGCAGATTTCCTACCATACTTTATTTTTTCTTGGGAAAACTAGTTCAGCAATTTCACGAAAACTTCCTTGAATTTTCTCCTCTGTCGGAAAAATATTCTGCATACTCGTAAATGTCAAGCTATACAGTTAGCTTGTTGCTCTTCGCAAAAATATCACAGGATCAGAAATTTTGAAACACTGCAATGGAAATACGTGGTTTCGCACTTCGACCACCGATTTTATCCTGATAAATGTGGCATCATTCGAATGCACTGTTTTTCCTCGCACTGAGGTTCGAAGTACGTCAACAATCAGTTCACCTACCTCTCTTATTTCAAGGTACGTCCTTCAGCTTCCGACGTCACTCCGCTCACATCACTGGCGACGCGTGGAAAATCCAAAAATCCAAGGAGGCACAATCCCGCAAACACCGTGGGGGAAACACAAGGGGGTCAACGGGGATGGAGAAATTTTCCGCGGCAGAAATGGACGGGGCCGCGCCTGGAGGCTCGAGCGAAAACTGACGGCCGCGCGGTTCGGCGGAGAGGATGATTTGTTTGGAAAACACCCGTCGCGACGGCGTAAACACAGAGCGGGAAAGCGCCGATGACGACGATGATGATGATGATGTTGATGACGATGATGCCGGACACCCGAGAGTCGAGACCAAGAAGAGACAGTGTCGCCAGCCGCTCAGCGACTCACCCGCGGGGTCGAGCACAGCCAGCGATTGTTCTCGCCGTTGGTGAGGGTGGGAGGGGGGCATCGGGGCGCCTGTATCTCCCTCCCCCCCCCCTCGACTAGAAATTTTGACTTGGGTAGATTTTTATACCTTTCGGAAGAATTTTTGGTCTCAGATCCCCACCTAACCCTCTTTTTTTCCTCCAACCCTAAATGACATAGAGAAAAAAAGAGGTGTTTGCGCATTTTAAGGATTGTTTACTCTGTGACACGTACGCGGAAAAAAATTGATTGCTGACCTAACGATTCAATTGTTAGAAAAAGTGACTGCAATGTTTCGGTTGTAAATTTTACTAGTGTGGACAGCTGATTTAACCACGGGGTATAGTTAAAGTAGCATTTTTTTGTTGCAAAATCTATATTGAAACATTGCAGTCACCTTTTTTAGCAATTGAATCGTTGAATCAGCAATTCAATTTTTTTCCGTGTATCAGGCAACCTTCTGGCATAAAAATGAACCAGTATTTTTGCAATTTATACGTCGTCGAGGTTGCCAGGAGGAGATTCTCGGAAAAATCCGAGGACCCATTTTCGGCCTAAAATAGACAAAAGTTGCTCCAACCCCAAATGACACAGAGAAAAAAAGAGGTGTTTGCAGTTTAAGGATTGTTTGCTCTGTGACGTACGCGGAAAAAATTGATTGCTGACCTAACGATTCAATTGTCAGAAAAAGTGACTGCAATGTTTCAAGTGTACATTTTACTATTGTGGACGACTAATTCAGCCACGGGGTGGTTAGAGTAGTATTTTTTTGTTGCAAAATCTACATTGAAACATCGCAGTCACTTTTTTAACCAAAAACTTGTTAAATCAGCAATTTAATTTTTTCCGTGAGGTCGGTACAACCTGGTCAGCAAAATCCGGAATTTGAAGTATGAAAAACGTACCATAACGTCAAATGGTTTTGCTTAAATCAATTCAAGATGTAATTTCGAACACTTTATGTAGAATAACTTTTTCCCATAAACTACACTATTTCCAAGAAAATCGATGTTAAAAGTCGCCGTACCAACCTACGTCATTAAAAAAGTCTAAGATGCCCGAAATTTAAACACCACACATGTTTTTTTTTCTTAGCAGAAATACGAACAACATAATGCCTCGGAAAGAGAGAAAAAGGAGGAGCCTGGCCGTAAATACACACATAGAATAAGCCATTAGAATAATTAAAGTAAGTTGCGTGGAAAATTCTCTGGTAAGTTAAAAAAAATAAGAGCTTACGAATTTTCTGAGAAATTCGTATTTACCAGGAGAAAATTTGGCAGCCTTCGAGTGTTTAATTATTGTTCATGCGGCTTTATTTCTTTACGCTTTAGTATTATACATTCGAGTATAGGACAATGATATCGGCATTAACGCCTTCATGCAACTATTCGTGCTCATAGTGGAAATCCATGTTGCGTGCTGAAAATTATGGGATATAATAAATAAGTATTCTGATATGCGAAAAAGGTGCAAAAATATGCTTCCATAGCTTCCCTGTCCTTTCTCCTCAGTTTTTATCGGAGCATTTTATGTCGTATGTAATCGCATCAAACACAGTGCGACAGCACGGTGGATCGAGTCAATTAGAGAGGTCGGACATGAAAGGACCCTACAACAAAACGGCCAAATCGGCCTAAACACGGAATCGTACGATTTTCTCAGGGATGATAGAGGGTCTTCCCAGACACTCAAAACTGGTCATATTTTTTGCCTAACCCCCAGGGAAAAGGGGGGAGAGGGGGTCAAAGTCAAAACCTTTAAATTAGCATAACTTCTCAACGGTTTGTCGTAGAAAGATGATCTTGGTGTCAAAATTTCCAGAAAAATGAGAGCTTTCAGAATGTATGAATGAAATTAATAAAATTTTAAAATTTGACCCACTTTTGGGGCATTTTACAAGGTCCCCCATTCGTAAATTTTCGTTTTTTGAGATTTTCGGTTGTTCGGTTCGCACGGATTAAAACAAAAACAATTTCAAATGAAAGTAGAGCGTTTAAGCTTTAAAACAAGCCCAAGATAATCTTGGGGAAACGATTAGAAGCGGAGTTATGAGTCTTCAAAGTTGACACGGCGCGCGGGAACCTTGTATGTTCCGAGTCTCAAGGTCACCTGCGCGCCCCGGATTGCCTGCAGGTTGCAAGTTTTTGTGTTTTTATGCTTCTGTAGGTCATTTTTAATGTAAATCTTCAATGAAGATAGTTTAATCAGAATTTTTTAATTTTACACAATGGGCCCTCGGCGAGGTACACCACATTAACGTCAAAAAATTTTAACTGCGTTTCAAATAGCCCCCTCAAGAATAACTGAGACTTGTTTTGAAGCTCAAAACTCGTCTGCTTCTACCAGAAACTATTTGGCTTTACCAAGTGAGTTCCGTCAAGCGCTGTAGTTTATAGCTCAATTTATTAAAAAAATTTAAAATTAGGGGTACCCCAAAATTTGGCATCAATGGGTTATAATTTCTAAATGGTTCAGTTCTGTATGGAGCATATGTATATTTGAACTGAGGGTCCATGGTTTCTTCTAAATTATAAGAGCAGAATCGTCATCGTCAGCAAATGTTTAATGAGGTATGATGGACATAATGGTTGATACTCTAAGCCCCCTCTCGCTCCTCCCGTAAAATTAAAAAATTTCGATTATTCTATCTTCATTGAATGATTTACATTAAAAATGACCTACAGAAGCATAAAAACACAAAAACTTGCAACCTGCAGGCAATCCGGGGCGCGCAGGTGACCTTGAGACTCGGAACATACAGGGTTCCCGCGCGCCGCGTCAACTTTGAAGACTCATAACTCCGCTTCTAATCGTTTCCCCAAGATGAACTTGGGCTTGTTTTAAACCTTAAGCCCTCTCCTTTCATTTAGGATTGTTTTTGTTTTGCTCCGTGCGAACCGAACAACCGAAAATATCGAAAAACGAAAATTTACGAAATGGGGACCTTGTATAATTCCCCCAAAAGTGGGTCAAAATTTAAAATTTTATTAATTTCACTCATTTATTCTGAAAGCTCTCATTTTTCTGGAAATGTTGACACCAAGATCATCTTTCTACAACAAACCGTTGAGAAAATATGCTAATTTAAAGGTTTTGACTTTGACCCCCTCTCCCCCTTTTCCCTGGGGGTTAGGCAAAAAATATGACCAGTTTTGAGTGTCTGGGAAGACCCTCTATCATCCCTGAGAAAATCGTGCGATTTCGTGTTTAGGCCGATTTGGCCGTTTTGTTGTAGGGTCCTTTTTAACTAAAACTGCAAATTTTGAAGTTTATTTCGTCACATTTTAAATTTCAAGGTGTGCTCATGGTAGAACATTCCACAAGGAACTACTTTCAGAACCTCAAAGCTTTAAATCAACAGTATTATAAGCGTTTAAAGTTTCCAAATTGTGTCCCCTTCCCCTTCCCATTGACGCGATCCATCGTGGGCCGGCGCGGCGCGGGGCATGCGTGCTCGGCAAAAGACGCATAGTAGCGCCTTATGAGACCACATGATACTTCATGCATTGCGCGTACAGCACGTAGCGCGCGACGCATAGTATAGCGCCTTACAAGTCTGCAGGATACTTCATGTATTGCGCGTATACCACGGTGCGCGCTCAAGTCGTTGAAAAGTCGTATTGTCTTGGGGTCGAACCTACTCCGGTGTAGACGATTTCCGAGCAGTGCACGCCGCACCGCGAGCTTTCCATCCTAGAATCACAATTCAACTCCTCCTCCGCCGTCGTCGAATGAAAAGTTGGAGCGTACACGATACTTCCACGAAAACACAATTTAGCGCCCTTAAGCTAAGACCATAACGGTCGAAACTGCAGGAGCGGCACAGGATAACCGAAAAACCACGCGGGGACGCTACTTCAATACTGATCTTCCACCTTCTTGCTAAGGCGCAGGGATACAACTATTTGAACTCTCCGGAGCGCGTGAGGTATCACGCCTCAATGGAACGCGTTTTCGAATCTTCTGTATTTACATGACGAGATTTTCCAAATTGATTTGCATTATATTGTCGATTTGAGTTCCCTTTATTATTTAGTGAAATTTCTCCTGCTTCTTAATTTTTAATTATTCTGCAAAAATTATCCATTTGCGAAGTACAACCCTTTCTTCATAGTCTAGGCTCCTGGTAGCTAAAAATGAGGCTACCTGGAATTTCGGGTACACAGCGATTTTTTTGCCTTACTTTATGTTATTTGGGTCGCTGAATCCGAATCTGAAGTTTCCTACCACGCATGCATTTTCCGACATCTTGAAGAAATGGCCTGAAAAGGCCTTTTTTGCGGTTTTTTTGATATAGCGGCTACGCATGAGAAAAAGTCCCGGATTTAGTTAATTTTTTGAATAGCCGACATAATTTGGAAGAAAATGGTATATGAATATGCTAGGTTTGCCTAAAAATTGAGGAACCTCGGGTCTCGGAACTTTGGAACGCTTCGCAACTTGTCTGACCGCGGCGAGCCGGATCGCGCGTTGACAGGTGCGCCGCGAAAACGTGAATGGGCGCGATGTTCACGATGCTGTATCTTCCTTAATTTTTAAGCAAACCTAGCATATTCAACACCATTTTCTTCCAAATTATGTCAGCTATTCAAAACATTAACTAAATCCGGGACTTTTTCTCATGCGTAGCCGCTATATCAAAAAAACCGCAAAAAAAGGCCTTTTCAGGCCATTTTTTCAAAATGGCGGAAAATGCTCACCAGATACGCGGAAGGAAACTTCAGATTCGGATTTAGCGACCCAAAAAACATGCAGTGAGTTAAAAAAATCGCTGTGTACCCAAATTCCAGGTAGACTTACCAGGCGCCTGGACTATTCTGTCGTTCTAGGGAAGAACGCCGTATGAACATTCGAGAGTTGCCTTTCCCTCGACAAAGCATGTATTTTTCACGACATTCATGCACATTTTTCTTTGAAAATTTCAGATATTTTAGATTAAATTGCGTACAAAATAGTCTGAAAAATTGGAAGGAAAATATTCACAAATTATTCCGCAAATTCGTGATTTACCGACGGAAATTTGGCAACGCCTGAAGGTTCATACGGCGTTCTTCCTTAGTACGGCAGTATTAGCGCCCTTAAACTAAGATAATAACGGTCGAAACTGCAGTAGCGGCACAGGATAACCGAAAAACCACGCGGGGACGCTACTTCAATACTGATCTTCCACCTTCTTGCTAAGGCGCAGGGATACAACTATTTGAACTCTCCGGAACGCGTGAGGTATCACGCCTCAATTGAAGGCGTTTTCGAATCTTCTGTATTTACAAAACGAGATTTTCCAAATTGATTTGTATTATATTGTTGATTTGAGTTCCCTTTATTATTTAGTGAAATTACTCCTGCTTCTTAATTTTTAATTATTTTACAAAAATTATCCATTCGCGAAATACAACCCTGATTTTAGCGCCCTTAAGCTACGACCATAACGGTTGAAACTGCAGTAGCGGCACAGGAAAACCGAAAAACCACGCGGGGACGCTACTAAGCTTCCATCGCCTTGCTACGGCGCAGGGATAGGTACAGCTATTTGAACTCTCCGGAACGCGTGAGGTATCACGCCTCAATTGAAGGCGTTTTCGAATCTTCTGTATTTACCTAACGAGATTTTCCAAATTGATTTGCATTATATTGTTGTTTTGAGTTCCCTTTTTTATTTAGTTAAATTTTTCCCGCTTCTTTAATTTTTAATTATTCTGCAAAAATTATCTATTTGCGAAATACAACCCTGGCTTTATAGTCCAGGTGCCTGGTAGCTAAAAATGAGGCTACCTGGAATTTCGGGTACACAGCGATTTTTTTGCCTTACATTATGTTATTTGGGTCGCTGAATCCGAATCTGAAGTTTTCTTCCGCGTATCTGGTGAGCATTTTCCGCCATTTTGAAAAAATGGCCTGAAAAGGCCTTTTTTTGCGGTTTTCTTGATGTAGCGGCTACGCATGAGAAAAAGTCCCGAATTTAGTTAATATTTTGAATAGCCGACATAATTTGGAAGAAAATGGTATATGAATATGCTAGGTTTGCTTAAAAATTGAGGAACCTCGGATCTCGGAACTTTGGAACGCTTCGCAACTTGGCTGACCGCGGCGAGCCGGATCGCGCGTTGACGGGTGCGCCGCGAAAACGTGAATGGGCGCGATGTTCACGATGCTGTATCTTCCTTAATTTTTAAGCAAACCTAGCATATTCAACACCATTTTCTTCCAAATTATGTCAGCTATTCAAAACATTAACTAAATCCGGGACTTTTTCTCATGCGTAGCCGCTATATCAAAAAAACCGCAAAAAAAGGCCTTTTCAGACCATTTTTTCAAAATGGCGGAAAATGCTCACCAGATACGCGGAAGGAAACTTCAGATTCGGATTCAGCGACCCAAAAAACATACAGTAAGCCAAAAAAATCGCTGTGTACCCAAAATTCCAGGTAGACTTACCAGGCGCCTGGACTAATTTAATGAAAAGTTAAACGGATTCTTGAGTGCGAAGTTGCATTCAAAATTTCGTTCAACTTCTCATCCAATCGAAGCCGCGAGATGGATTGAATGTTGAACGGAAAGTTGAATCAAACTCTTCTGATCGACTTCTGCAGAGGCTAAAAGTACCGCATTTAACAGATAGGAACCAAGTCACATCAGCTATTGCCAAATTTAGCTCTGCAATTAGATTTTTGGGAGAGAACGTTTGTGCGGATTCCTTTGAAAATTGTAATAAATTTCCCTCGTATACTATGGAGGAAATTAACTGAAATTTGCACGGAAATCTGCACAACCGCTTTCATGTAAAAATTTTAACTGCCCGATTTTTGGCAATAGCTGATGTGGCTTGGTTCCTTTCTGTTTAGCGCAATCCAAATCTTCGCCAACCATGAATCAATTTGGTTTTTGCCGGACGAAGGGACAAAACTTAATTCCAAAGTTGCACAATTGACTAAAACAATTCATTTTTTTTGGCAAGAATGCACCTGTGCTATTTCTGTCCAAAATGTTCCTGTTTTTTGCTTGAGATAGAAGATTATTGAAATTTTCAGTTACAGATGCCAAAGATCCTCCTAGTGAAAATGTGATTTGCAAGAGGAGAGTTGGAAGCATTGATATGTGGTTACGTTTTTTTGTGGTGGAAACGACAAATTATCTATGAGGATTTTACACATCAAAAGATTTGAATGGTCACATCATAAAATCAGAAGATTATTTTATCAGGTAAAACAATTTGTTTTATTTCGAGGAAAAGATCCCACTATATTACATATCACATTCTTGGTTATATTTGATTAAAATTATAATTTTTAAAAAGAACACAGTGCTTTAATGTTAGGTATGTACATGACAACTCACACGAACCCGGTAAGACAACAGGTGCCTATTCATTTCTCCATGAAGAGGAGGATGAAGATATGAAAAGTAGCCTTGCTGGAAAATTGAATGTAAGCTCACTTTTCAACAAATTAATTTTTATTTTTTTTAATTAAGTTCCTCAGGTTAAAGATTAAGTTTGCAGGGGATGTTGTGAATGAATAGAGGACCCAGTAGGGGTATATTTCGATGGCCAAAGTTCGAAACAGCGTATCTCCAATGTGATGTTTAAAAATTCTGCTTCTATTTTATTTTTTCGAAGAGGAACAAGCCAGCAGTGTAGCTTGAAATTCATACAAAATATTCTACTGACAGAGAGGAAATATCACCGTGATTTTCAAGAAATTACGTTCAGTAGCCTTCCAAAAAAATTAAAGTATGACAGAAAGTCTGGAACGCCGCAAATGAAGATACGAGGTTTTGAACTTTGGCCATTGATTTATTATAGCCTAGCTTAAAGTCAAATCAAGCGAATTCAACCGGAACCACTCTAGCTACATCAGACATCGCCTAATTTTTTTCTCATGTTGTATTTTTTTGATAGAAAACTAAACAACACTGAAACTTGAAATTTTGGTGATATATTCTTCGTTATCAAGGGTAAATTCACAGAAAGTTTAAAGTCGTTAAAAAGTTCAGTTTTCTGTTTAAAAAAAAAGAAAAGAAGAAAAAACAGGAGCAAAAATTAGGCAACATCATTTGTGAAATACAGTTAGGACTACTTCTGTCGTATTGGTAATTGATGCCTTGCTCCTCCCAACCTTTTCAATGGGAATGACATTATGCGGTTTTTCTGTACATTCAGAATTTCAAACCGAAATGTAATTTCAGCTCTGATTGTTTGCAGCTTTCCAGCATGAAAGATTCACAGAACTCAGAAATCACCAATTAATCAAACGAATGGTATCGCAAACAATTTCTTGTTATCAGACTTCGATGATACATTTCTGGAAAGTTCTCTTGGGGTTCGCTCTGATTGGCTACAAACATTTACCTGACATTTTGTCAGCAATACAAACAAAATGGATTTTAATGCCATACCATAAACTGTTTCGTATCATGTCAATTAGCATTGATATAAATCGTTTTCATGAAAATACACAGTTGAAAAAACATTAATCCTAAGACTTTTGGACTGTAAAAAGTAAAAGGATAAAATATCACAGGAGTTAGGCTAGGAATAATCCATTACAACACTCGTTTATCAAGTACACAGTTAGTTTTGAAAATCCTTGATGTCGTTTTTGACTAAAAGATCAGAAACAAGCATAAGTAGTGAGTTGTGAACTTCCTGATAGTACAGCAAATGAGGGAAAGCTGTTTGGTACATGGCTGGATATTAAATTACTCCGTTACATGGGGACAGCCAGGAGAAGAAGACTTCCTTTTTCATTATCAAAACCTCACGATTTTAATTTTGAAATCTCTTGACTTTAGTGATGTCGATCTCCGCTTCCTGTATTTCTCGCATGAAAACACTAACGGAAGATCAGCAATTCTATTTAGTTTGCATCGTGGATTCATTTTTCACTTTGTTCAAACTGTACTGCTCTAGTTCAGCTGCATACTTCTCCTTAGACTTCTCATACATACTGTAGTAGACCTAGGGGAAAAAAACAAAACAAAATTCGGCTATTAGAAAGCAGTGGTTCCAAAAGTGTGATATATCATTAGGAAAGTAAAAAAAATGAAAATTAAGAATAAATAGAAATTTATGTAAAATTTTTAAGAATGTTACAGGATATTATTGTTTAGCTAAGTCATGTTTAGTAACTCAATTTTATTTGTTCAATCCCCTTGAGAACTTCTTCAATTTTCATTTCTAACATATATGAAGACCAAGTCTGTACAGGATCTTTAAAAATTTTCATAATGGCTGATATAATTTGTGGACATTTGCTGATAAGACTATTAGGACATTATGAATTTCATGTTATTTTTGTTCAGTTTGAATACAATTTGTTTCAATTTGTGTGTGTGTCATTCAGATGTGAGTTGCAACTCAAAAAAGAAAAAAATAAAGGTAATCAAATAGGTAACATAGTTTAGTAGTTCACTAACAAGTAACTTCATTTTGTGCAGATCTAGAGATGTAAAAGACAAAAGAACAAAACTCCACTTTTATGATTTTAAGATCTTGCAAATAAGCATTTGTATGTACACTAAAAACTATTTAACTACTTTAACTATTGCTATTAATAAAATGTGCAAAGCTTCTCATTCAGAAAAGCTTGACTAAAACTAAAAAACATTCGCATCATGTAGAACTGTTTTAGTTAGGCCAAAAATACAAAAAGGTAACTAACTCCAAAGGAAGAAGATAGGATTTTCCAATGGGGATATTTTATTTTAAAAGGAAAGCTTAGTACCCAATTTTAATCTCAAATTGAATTTGTTGTATGTTTAGAATTGTAATTCGTTGGGGGGGGGGGGGGAGAAAAAGAGAAAAAAATAGACATAACTATTTCAATTTTTGATACCAAAAATTCAGCTTTTACCTAATGTTTAGAAAATCTCGGTGTCTAAAGTGCATTAAGGTCTAAAGAGTGATTCCTGACCATTATGATAGCAAGGAAGGGAGGCTAGTCCTGTGACTTAGGTAGTCGAGTAGAGAAAGGATAATGAGGAGATCGTTAATTTAGAATCTTCTTACATTTTGAAAACAAAGCAGAAAGTTTTATTTCCAAATGAAAATTTGGAATGTACCTTTTTGTCATCATTTGACAGGGTGTTCCACGTATTGGCCAGTTGTTTGGTGAGTTCCTGCTTGGTTGGTTCGGACTGCCCTGTTGATGTCATCTTGTCTAGGACTTTGGACCTTTGTTCTTGACAGAATTGGAAGAATGGATTGGCAGGACGTTTGGGCGCATTCGGGTCTTTCTCAGCTTTTTCACCTCTGCGTTTCATACCCTTCCCTTTGGATCCAGGAGTTTTTTCCGTGCTACTTGACGGTGTCTGAAACGAGAAAAATTGTCAAAAACTAAATTTTCACTGCCAAAGTAAACAATTATGGAGTGACTTGACCTAATTTATTTGCCACAAGGCCATGAGGTAAAACATATTCCTGAATTGCTAAGCAAGCCACCAGAATGATTTTATTGGTACACTGCCCTCAAAAGTCTGATGACTATAATATTACTTATTCATAAATGTTGAATTTGCCAATATTATAATAATAATGCAATTACTCAAGAGCATTCTGCCTTCCTGTTTGAAAATCTATGGCAGACGTGCGTCCCCCCCCCCCCCCATATGGGACTTCTTCAGTGACGAAACTAATGCTATAATACTAAAAACACTGAAAAATCCATCCGTATTTAGTGTTTTTAGTATTTGAGCGTTAGTTTCAGCACTGAAGAAGCCCCATATGGGCAGGCAAAACGCATGACTGCCATAAATTTTCAAAATGGAGGCCAGAATTCTAGTGAGTAATTGCATTATTCCTTATTCATTTGACTTGTTTTGGAGCTCTAATCTATACTTTCAGAAAATGAAATAAAAAAAAGTAGATGCCACCGACCCATTGTTGTTTGTCTCACACATACATTGAAAAGCAAGGATGAACTTTGAATATAAAAAAAAAAGGAGTTGCATACCTTCGAGGAATTATTGGAGCCAACTTGTGGAGACCCATCCAAGAGATTAGATAGTGTGAGGTCAGAGTGCGACTTTTCTGGTTCAGGAAGAAGCTCATAATTTGCATTTCTCCAGTCATCATTGTATACATCCAGTCGATCCATAAGGTACCTTTAACACAGAAATGGATCATTTCGTTTACACAAATAAGCATTAATCCATTTTTCCATGACCACCCATGACCTATACTGACAGTAGCAAATTTTCCAGGACAGGATTTTTGTTAAGTTGCGTAAAATATTTGATTTTCACTTTTCGATAGAGGGTTCCTAATAAGGAATTATTATTTCTGTGCAGAGATAATTTTTTGTGCAATTTTACCATGAACATCTTTTCACGCGTACGAAGAACTGCAGGTATCAACAACTTGCAGACGAATCCCTCACAAGCTTAACTGACCCACTTTGCATTCCGAAAATTGGAGATCAAAACTTATGACAACTTTTTCTCCACACCACGGACCATGCTTTATGAGCTGCGAATCTCAAGACTTCATAGCTTCGATTTGCTTTGATATTGTTCAGATTTCTCTGTCAAGTACTTTCACTTGCTCTTGAGGTTGTAATAAATGAATATTATTGATAGAATAGTCAAGAAAAGTTGTAAAAAAATGATTTTCAATCAAAGCTGAAAGCTGAGCTTTTCCTTCGGAAAATGCACTAAAAACTAAGTTTTAAATTTGTATTAAAAAAAAAGGAATGCAAAAGCTGAGCTTATATCTAGTCTGAATACTATAAAATAGAGTTGAAAATTAAAAAGTTGCTCCGGTGAACATTTTGGTTGTGAAATCTTGATAAAAATGACCTATACAGCAATTTCGAAATGTGACTTAAAATGTGGAATTTCTTACTGATTCAAATAAATTTACGATGCGGGGAAAAGAGAAACTTTGGCTGCCAGCCTTGTAAATTTAAAGGTAATTTAAAACAAAAATTAGAGCCATGAAGTACATATCCTAAGCTACAAAATGGTGTGATTTTTTTTTATTTGAAAAAAGTTCATTAACTTAAAATCACAAAAATTCTGGCGCGGAGCGAATTCAGAATTTAGAAATCAATGAAAACAAGAGGTCATGTTCACGAACACCTCCTGCAATCTCCTGCCGTATGATCTGGTCCAGAATTAGTACAGGAACGTAGAAATGAACCAAAAGTCCATTACTTTTTATTTCGTTACTTAAATCTCAAATAGGCGCCAGCAGCAGGAGCAAAAGTCTCCCATTACCCTGGTCTCTCATTACCCGGTTCTCCTCTATGACATTTTTTAAATTTTCACCTTGAGTTTTTCTTTTCTCTGAATCCATCACCTGTAGGTAAAATCAATTACATGATGACACTTACTTTCTTTCCTTGCGATATCTACGAGTGAGTTTCTTGACATTATGTATTCTGAGCACTAAGCGTTCATTGTCCTAAGAAAGAGAAGATAGACTTGGTTAAAACTCAAAGGATAACATAATGACATATACACACCAGCCTAATTTTAGACCATTGATTATCACACCTTCTTAAAACCAAAATCAGGGACTGTTTCTCTTCAATTTGATAAATGAGCAGCTAAGCAAAAATCCCCTAAGTCAAATTTTTAAAATCGTTACACAAAATGAATGAATGAAAAAAAAAAAATTACAGGTTGGAGGGCTCATTGGTTGGTAGAAATAGTTGTGTCATTTGACTTTATTATTTAGATTTCATTACATACCGTTTCATTGTTATAAAATTGCTAACTTTCAGCATTTAATCAAATTCATGATAAAATCTTGAGTTTTATTTAGTGAATGAACAAAATTAAATATTGTGATATTAGCTCAACTTGGCAGAATTTTTTACAAACATTATTGTCAAATCTGCATTGATAAAGTAGCAATTTCATCTCTACTGAACGCAATTTACTGCGATTTTCAATTTCAATTAAATTGCAAAAAATTGCGATTGCTAAAATCGGAATAAATTGCTGATCTAAATACAATTTAACATTATGGTTGCTTATTTGGATTGCATTTTGCAAAAATGAACCACTAGCATTGCAATGTTGCTGAGATTGTGCAACTTCTTTTGCCTTGGAGGAAAAACCCGATTATCAAATAATAGTTTCTATTTTACTCGCTAAAAACTGTAAATTTAAGACAAAAATTACCATCTAAATTTCATAGTTTTTCACGATTTCCGCAAATTTTATTGCAAAAGATGAAGTTGCACAATCTTAGCATCATTGCAATGCTAGTGGTTCCTTTTTGCAAAATGCAATCCATTTGATTATTCTCTTCTTCTCGGTCACTGATCAGGCGATGATCTTAAAGTTAAGAACTCACCAAACGCATCTTATTGCACTTCTGTAAGAGTAGTATGTACTTCCGTTTGTAAGTGTTAGCTTCTGGTCCATCCTCAACCTCTGAGCCGTCAGAGAAACTGTTCAGGCCACTTGTATAAATCATGATCCCGCTTAAAATTCACAGTTTCTGAAAGAAGAAACATGAATGAAAAGACAACTCACTTTCCTCTTAGATAATAAGATAAATAAGTTTTGATAAACCTATAAGCTTGCTATCCTGTCTGTCCAAACTCTGGGAAAGAGTGCTTCTAAGATTCCTCCAAAATCAGGGGATAAGATTATACCCGGTTACCAGTTTGGATTCCGCAAAAGACAAAGTTTGTGACCCCCTTGTTTTGACTATCAATCAGTTACTTGATGACCGAAGCAAGAACAGCAGTATCGTCAACTCTTAATATTTCCTATTGCTGTGATAGATGAAATACATTGTGGCAGGGATCCTGGATTATCCAATGTCTGCTGTCCTTAAAATGTTTGATGATCATGTACCTACTTACTTCGGTCGTTAATAAGATGACTCCAACATTCATGGCATGCATGTTTCTAAAGATGATATCACAAGTACTCAATCCTCCCTGCCAGGAAAAGACAAAAATGATACAAAAATACAAAATTCATACCTGGACTCACCAATGAGTGCCTGTACAAGGCGAAATGCCTCAAAAAAGTCTGCTTGGAATCCGTATCATCCGATGCCCCATTGCACATTTGCTACAAAGAGACCATAGAACAGAGGACAGAACAAAGTTGCACAAGTCACATGAAAACTTAGAGAATCCTTCCTGGAATTCCAATTAACAGATAACTTCCTTTTCAATATTTTTCTCTTTTTTTTGTTAAATTTCAATTTTGATTTGAAGATTAGCAAGCAAAAGAGGAGGAAAACTAACCATACAAATGTAAACAAACAATGAGGGTCGTTCAAACAGTACTCTAAGCGGCACGACGAGAGATGCGCCAATCATTATCTATAATTTCCGCGAAACATCATAATAAAATTGAATTTCATGGAAATTATAACATCTTCAGGTCATAAAAGTAAATGTTTGCAAGTTCCAAGTCATTAAAATTTATGCAAGGAAATGTCTTTAAGTATATCTTTGAGCCAAATGCCTAGGGTAACCTCGAACTCCAGTGCTTATTGCCAGCGAGGCAATAAGCACTAGAGCTCGAGGTTACCCTACAAATGCCGAATCGGAGGTACTAGGTAGCTCATCGTGTCACCTAACGCTTTGTGTGAAAGACCCTTTAACTTGGGTGCATGTGAGGTTAAGTTACCCTGTGTTTTCACACACTATTCCATTTTAATTCCTCCTCGTAAATTTTCAGGTTTTGTGAATTTGCCATGAAATTTTAAAACTAGCGTGTGTATTCTAACCCAATTTCATTTTAGCCCTTTGTAAGTGTTCATCACAGGTCACAGGTCACTCCAAGATGACCCTCCTCAGTATCCAAAAGAGCGATGAGTTTGAAACTCTCATCCAGTAAGTAATACTATTATGATAATGGTAATCTTTTCATTATACTCTAGTGTCACAAGGTCTATACGTCACCAGAATAAACTATATATCCTTTTCAGCAAATGCCTGTCTTAGTAGCAACCAGCAACACTCATCCGCTTAGCTGCGAACTTAAGATTGCATCAGGGAATGAATTGTTTTCATTTGCACATTGTCAGTGCTTGAGCCACTAACAACAGCTGCGTTGCTAAAGTCACCGACTTGTTCTCCGGAGGATCAGAGAGCTCGACGGATTATCCGATGGCTGATGTCATGTTTCCGCGCTGTTGTCATCGTATTCTGGATTCCTCACTGTCTATTTACATTTAATTTCAAAAACGAAAAGTCGAAGAAATCTACCTTATTTCTCAATTCTCATGACAATAAATGAACTGCAGGCCCAGTGCCTTATCATGTTGCCTGAGAAGAAAGAAGCGAAGAGAAGAGGAAGCAAGGCTAACCTTCTACGCCATTCTCCGTAGTCTCTGACCTTGAGAGATTGGAGAGTTGGAGAGTAGATCAAGACTGATATTGCAGGTCACTGGGCAATTCCTCTGGGGTTGAAAAATGGTTGTTGTTGTCTGCGGATAATGTCGGAACTGTCAGAACTCTCCGGAGACTTTAGCAACGCACATTATCAGTCGTATCAAAAGCCTGTACAATAATTATTCTAAAGTTTGTTTTCAGAAACGATCTGCCATAACCCTCATCAGACTCTCAGTAAAGTATTTACAAATGACCCATAATTCCATTTTAACATTTTAAAATCCCTCGGAAAATTTTATCAAGCTGATTACTTATATTTGACATGATTTTTTTAGTGAATTTTTCTTTACTATCATTCCTAGAATTATTTTCAACATCCCCTCAAAGGACTTCTTTAAATGTTAAACAACATTATAAGATGAACCGCATTAAAATAGGCAAGGAATAAAATGGTATTATTTTCAACAGATAATGTCTACAAGCTCAAGTATTTCTATGCTTTCAGGAGTCCAGAGTTGGTCACAATTCATTTTTATGCCGATTGGTCGGATCAGTGCAAACACATGGATTCTGTTTTCTCAGAGCTATCGAAACAAGCAGACTTTAAAGTAAGTCATCTCACCTCATTAAATGAAAGTTATTGTCTGCGTTCCTTGGCACTGATTCTTATTTTAGTTATTTAAGTAGGTCAGTAAGTGGACAAGGGAAATCTACAATCAAACCTGATTTCCGCTCGAGCTCTTTCAGGTGCCCTCCAAGTAAGATGAAAGGACTAATCTTTATTCTATTGAATTTACTTATGCCAGGAAATAAAATGTTGTGAAGAAGGAAGTATCCTCATAAATTGTTCACGTAACACTCTAGTATTTTAATTTAAATAACGTTTTGGTGTGTAGTACCACCAACTGGCAATCATGTTTGAAGTAGTGTTCGAAAACTTACATAAAGTACTTTTGAGAATGTAAGTTTCAAATCAATGGGCTACTAGACAAGATATGAATTAAAACCCCTTCTTTACATATACCACTCCTCTTTTTCTTAAAAAATTTACTTGTAAAATTAGAAAGAGAAAGAATGTAACAGAGTAAGAGGTGTTTGCACTGAGTCAAGTTTCTCATTGTCTCATATGATGGGAACCAAGAAGTCTTCTACTGTAACATAATTCAAGAGCTTCTTATTATCATTTCAGTCAAAGCCACTAAGATTCATAAAAAAAGAGACGGGGGATTTCTTGGAAAAACTTTTAAAAATTTAAATGTAATACTTCACCCGACATCTTCATACTGATTGTAAAGTTTCTTTCAAATGTCAGTTTTACAAAATCTTATTTTTCAGGTACACATTTTTTCAAAAGATCGAATGATTCTGCATTCATTCATAGTAACTGTTCTTTCAAATAGGTAGAGAATTTGTAAGTGTCTGCAATTTGATGAATTTCGTGTGCAAGTTGAAACTACTGAGTGAACTGAACACAAGGATACCCATAGTTCATGAATTGAACAATTATGGGAGAAGATATGACAAAATGATCTAATCTGCTAAAATATGTGTGTTTAAATGGGAAATGCCGCCAGATGATGTCACTAGGCGGTGCATTTCCTCTCTTTTAAATCTATTTTTATACTATTTTCCATATCAGAAAAAAATTATAAAAAATACTGTGAAATTAGCTCTTTCAGCCCTTTCAGATGAAGCAATAAAAAATTTGCATGCAAATTCCCCATTGTTCTATAATTATGTATTGCTAACTGCTCACTATTTACTACTCATCTTTTGTTTTGAAGGGAGTCAAGTTTGCCAAAATTGCAGCAGAAGATTTCCCTGATCTCTCAATGAAATACAATGTAGCCGCAGTTCCTACTTTCGTTTTTTTCAAAAGCGGGCAAGATATCGACCGTGTCGATGGTGCAAACGCCCCTCAGCTTACAGCAAAGATAAAATCCTTGGTGAGTATCAAACCATAAACACGTCTTTTTCATAGTATTTTAGAGATAGCATTCAACAAGAAGAAAAATTGGTAAAAAAAACTCTGCTTATTTCCGTGGAATTCAATCTGAACAAAGCTTGTGTTACCATTTTGTGTGAGCAAGTTGTTTACTCTAAGCACAGAGACCATAAAGCTTATACAGTGGAAATCGGATGCTACGACATCGCTTTTCACAACATATCGGTTACAACGACCTGCGATCTGGTCAATTCCATGGCTGAAACCCTATCTATTCAATGTACTTGAACATCGGTCATAATGACAATAGGATAAAATGACCAAATTCGGCTGGTCCCCAGAGGGTCGTTGTGTCCGTTTTCCACTGTACACATTTAAGAAAAGCAGACCAAAGTCAGCTCATTATTTTTTAACCTCTCATGCATCAGCCAATTGCTAACACATAAATATAAGGTCATATCAATATGTTAAATTAATTAATGGGCTTTATTAATTTTTCTCTTTTAATTTTGATTTATAGATAAGTGCCAAACCCACCGTTACCTCTGGCGCAAATCATGTTGGAGAGGGAGAAGACATTAATGATAGGCTGAAACGACTCATCAACAGTGCTCCTGTCATCCTCTTCATGAAAGGCACCCCAGACACGCCAAAATGTGGTTTCAGTAATCAAATAGTTTCAATCCTTCGCGAGGTGAACTGTAATTTCGCCTCTTTTGATATTCTCAACGATAATGCTGTACGAGAAGGCCTAAAAAAATTTTCCAATTGGCCAACATACCCACAGGTAATTGTTATGGACACTTTTTTTTCCTGTAAGTACAAATGACAGTCCTTTGGAAAAGGATCCTTAAACAGAAGAAAATGTAATGGAGGTATTGGCACCACTGCTGAGAGGAGTATTTTAATACGATCCTTATGGCTTGAAAGAATGCCTAATGTTGTTGAAGGAAACTGTGTGACAGTATTAAGTTTACTTTTCCTAAAACGTAAATTTTAAAATATTTTGTTTTGTATTTCTTTTCCTTATCAAAGATATTTTTCCCCAGAAGAAAATCTAACCATCCTTTGACTTTTGCCGGCCTTTCCAGTTGCGCTCTGTTAATTAATTAGTTCGGCAATATCTGTACCTTTCGTTGAATACTGAAAGCTTCCTTTACATTGGCTTACAATTTGACTTCTCATTTCTGAAAGGTTGAAATGTATATTCTCTCAGCCCTACAGTTCTCAATAAACTACATGTATTCCCATGAAGAATCACAAAGATTACGAAAGATTTTACAGTCAATTATAGATAACTCTTGGATTTATGGAAATTTTATTAGTTAAGAACCAGCCTTTGGTTCCTCCTTGCAATGTTGTGTACCACTCATTTGCTTGATTTGATTTTCAGCTCTATGTGGATGGTAATTTGATTGGTGGCTTGGATATCATCAAAGAAATGAAAGAAAGTGGAGAATTAGAAGAGTTAGTCAAATCCAAGAGTGGTCCATCTTCAAATGGAACCTCAAGTTTAAATGAGCGGTAAGTTCAAGGCTTGTGTTAAAATTCATGTGGAAATCAAAGAGTAGCACAATTTCAGCACCAATAGTCTTGATTTCTTGGCAAGAGCATTTATTGTTTGAAATGATTAAAATCTAACTGGCTGGCTCTAGTTTCGCCAGCTGACAAGAGTACTGCAGAAAGAAATGAAGTCCTAATTCTGTAAAAAGAATGTCTTTGTTAGTACATTTCTGTGAGAAGATGATTTTAAGTACTTCTAAAATACCCGTTATTTAAGATAAGATATATGATAAGATATTTATTCAAAATGTAAAACATAAACGAAAAAACAATATTAATCTGCCTGGCAAATTGCGATACCCAATTATTCTGCCCAATCAGATGTGAAAATAAATACAAATGATAATAATACAAAAAAAAAGCAATAAAATAAATATAGTGACGTAAATTAAAACGAGAGTAAGACACAATTATATTAACATTAATTGAGTATAAAAAATGAGAAAAATAAAACAATAAATAATTGTAGTAGAATAATATAAAAAAAAGAAAGAAACAGTACATTTTGAAATGAAATAATAAAAGAAATTGGAAAAAGGAAACAAAAAGTAAGAATAAATATTGAAATACTTAAGAAGGAGAGAAATAAAAAGAAAAAGGAAAAAAGAGAATAGAAGTAGAAACCTATTCAAGCAATTTATGACTTACGGTTGAATTTATTTGACCTTCTCCTTCGAGGAATTCCTCTGATTCTGTTTACGTTTTGAGGTGATATATTTTCAAGTGCATGCCTTTTTTTAAATTCTATTCTCATCATTTTTCACGGTTACCTTTTTTTCTAGGCTGAAAGCCCTCATCAATCAGGCAAATGTAATGGTTTTCATGAAAGGCAACCCTGAAAATCCTCGGTGTGGTTTCAGCAGACAGTTGATGGAAATTTTGAAAGAAACAGGGTAAGTTTTTTCCTCTGTCCTGTGCAGGAACTTGTTCTTATTCACAGTGTCAGCAATTGATGGTGCAAATACCATAGATAACTAGCCCTTATTTTTAAATTCACTCCGAAATGTGTTCATTATCCATCCAGTAAGAGAGTTTTCAGTTTTATCTTCCATCCAAAAACATTTTGCTGTTTTACCGAAAGGATGAAATATTCCCTCCATTAACACTGAATGTGTTTTTTTTATTATGCCATTAAAAGAAATGGTTGCAGGTAAAGAGATTTAATATGAAATAAAATCAAATCTATGAATAATGCTCCTCATTCATTGGCATTTTCTTCTTTCAGGGTTAAATTTGAAACCTTTGACATTTTAAACGATAACTCAGTGCGTGAGGGTCTGAAAATCTACTCATCATGGCCGACGTATCCACAAGTATATGTGAAAGGGAGTCTAATTGGCGGCTTAGACATTATCAAAGAACTCAAAGAAGCGGGAGAGTTAGTTTCATCTCTAACATCATCTTAAATCATTCATTTGTCATTTAACTTTTTTGTTGAACATCATTTTAGGACAATTAAACACTATTTTTCCAAAAAGAAAACTCAGTTTCCATTATTTTTGTGCGAGGAGCATTACCACAATTTTTCATGCTATATGGTTTTATTTACAAATGAGTAAGAAACTTCGGTGACAATATCAATGGCGAAGTGCAAAACATGCATCTCACTTGCAATGCTTAAATATCTCTGATCTGATCTGGATCTGTGAAAAGGGACCTTATCTCTTGGGAGAAAATTTTCCCTCTTTTTTCTAATGCATGGAGGAAGAAAATCTTGACATTTTGGCACAAGTTTGACCTTAGAATCTTCAAAATTGAAGGGAGTATGAGTCCTGAAGTTCCAAGACAAAAATTCTTATGGTGTAGAAAAAAGTTGGTTTGAGTTTTTGAAAAAACATTGGTAAAATTTTCTCCTTTTCCCTTTCTCCCTTCTCTTTTTTACAGATCCAGTCACAATTATGTTTTCTTTCTCCTAAGAGAAACTAATCAAAATGGCTCCTTGTAATTTAGTGTAATTACTTTAGAATAAAGGAAGGGAAAACTTCAATAGAGCCGTTGTTTGAGTTTCCTTGAAATAATTATATATAAATGGAGTCTTACAACATGGCAATTTAAAATACCTATGTTAACTGAGGAAACTCTAATCCATCTCATAACTTGCTTTTGAAGCATATGGAGCTTTTTTGAACTTTTTTGGAGTTTTTGAACCTTTCTACCGAGAATTATTAAATTAAAGGGATGTTTCTTGGTCAAGGAAAGCTTAACCAAAAAAAGACAAGTATAAAAAAAAATCCCACCTTGTAGTGTGATCAAAATTACTCAATAAATTAATGAGTCTAATATTTTTCCATCAGTCTACCTATCAAAACTGAGATTTACTCCTCCAAATGAACATTTAACACTAATGAAATCAAGATTTTTTTTCAGAGAGCGGAATAAAAAGAATCAATTTTAAATAGGAAAATATTCATTTTAACTGTGTTTTGTACAAGTTTCATTTTTACATGTTTCCAAGAGTCATTTAAGTGTTGATGGCCAAAGTCAGAACAAGCATAGCTCCATTGCAGCATTGAAAAATCTTTGGTTTCAAATTTTTGAAAGAAAGCTTATCAAAATATCCTGTTGAAATTTTTTGTAAATTTTTTTTGATAGGGGAGAAAATTTACTGAAAATGCCAAGAAAAACTGTTTGTTGGTTTATTTCTTGAGAAATTAAGTGCAATCATATAAACTGCAATTTTTTGGTTGCATTCAAGAGGTTTCTTTGCAATTTTTACCCTATAAGAATGTCCCAATAAGCTGCAGATGATTCCAAGAAATAATTCAAATTTGACTCACTTTAGTATTCATGCAATGCAATTGATACATGCAATTCTGTATTGAGTTGGACTTTGCCATTTTGATGGGAAAATAGTTGAGATTCCAATTTCCATTACGAATTTCAGGTGAATTAAATCAAAATCAAAACGCTTTCAAAAAGTAAAAACACGATTGGTGCACATTACTTACTTATGGTTACAATTGCTGCAGAGCAGATTGAAGGCAAATAAAAAAAATCCAACTATGTACTATTTACAATGAGTACGTTGTGTATGCATACACTCAAAATTAAAACGCCCTCCAAAAGTAAAATCACGATTGAAACAATTGCTGCAAAGCGAATTGGAGGCAATTCGAAAAAAAAATCCAATTCCGACAATAATTTTATTGTATTATGTGCTCAAAATTAAAACACCCTCAAAAAGTAAAATCGCATTAACGAGCATAACTTCCTCGTAGTAAAAATTGCTGCCGAACAGATTGAAGGCAAATCGAAAACAATGCGATTACAAGTTGAGGTAATGATTACCTGCTCATAGGCTATTTGTACTATAACAAACGGTCAAATTTTTTAATTTTTTTAATTTCGTCATACCCATATCTCATTTATTAACAAAAGAGCTTTTACGAAACTCCGAATTATTACTGAGAAATATTAGAAAAAATTTGGTAGAATATTTAAATATATGACGTCATTTTCTCTGTTTAGTGTACACGGCAGCCGGCAGCTAACTTGTGAACCACATTATACTGAAAGTTGATTCAACTTTTATGCTCAGATACCCTTACTTATTCTGAGCACTTGGATGAACAACTAGAAAAATTGGCGCCAATTAGTTCAAATCGTTAGCGTTTCCCAATTATTCCTTTTTTCGAACAAAAGGAATTTTAACGGCAAATTCTGAACCAGACGCTGTGATTGGTTCAGAGCGGTTCATTCCATTTATTCAGAGTTGAACCGAATTAAGCGGGAATTTCAAAATATACCGGATATCCTGCTTAGCCGATCGTTTCCGTTTCCGGTAAAACAGTGTTGTCAGATTGGTTTGTTTGGTGAAACTGGCAACACTGTACCGGAAACGGAAACGATTGGTTGAACAGGATATCCGGAAGTATTTGAAATTCCCGCTCAATTTGATTCAACTCGGAATAAACGAAATGAACCGCTCTGGACCAATCACAGCGTCTGGTTCAGAATTTGCCGTTAAAATTCCTTTTGTTCGAAAAAGGGAATCATTTGAAAATGTAGCAATTTTTAAATCAATTTGCGCCAACTTTTATTGTTTGTTTATCCACGTGCTCGAGTTGCAAGTAGGTTGCAAGATGGCTGTAAATTCATTTGGCAGACCGATCATGGTGAAAACAGACTCAATGCAGTCCAAAAAACAGAAACTCATTCAGTATCTGAGAAAATGCCTCGCATCGGGGGAACTAAAATCACAGGTATCGTTTCTTGCTGTACATCATTTTCAGTAGTGCTCGAAGTTAATCCAATTTTGGCTGGAACACCTGCACCTGTAACCAGTTTTAAAAGTTCGCAATAATCTTTTCCTTTAGGACCAAATCCTTTTTTTCTGATTGGTACATTATAGATAAATGTTAGCAATTTAAATCATTTAAAAACAGAATAGGATATGTATATGTAATGTCATATTTGTCCGATTATAGTTTCCTGAATGCGTCTTCAGTGGTAGAAACCGAATCTGATGCTTCATCTCAGTTTACGAGAGCCCTAATGCAGGTCTCCATTCAGTTTGTTTGTATCATGCTTCAAAGGCTCTCTATCAAATTGATGGTGAAACTTCCAGACCAAGTATATCTTGGTTTGTGACGTCGCAGACTTCCTGTCACACTTTATTTTTTTTTTAAATGGAAAACTACTGAACATCAATTTTTGAAAACCTCTGTGATTTCTCTTCTCTTCGTGCAGGAAACTCTGTGAAAACTTTATGGAATGCTATTGATTCATTCTCCTTCCCATAAATACAATGACAGCAGAGATTTCTAAACACCGCAAATGAGATACGTGGTCTGGTAGTTTCACCGTGTATATGCGCCGGTAAGTTTAGGGTTACTTCAAGGGTCATTACTTGTTGTAATCCTATCATGATATAGTCACACAGGTGGGTACTCAAGGTTGTCAAGAACTGTGACAAACAAATCTCATCGGATGAATAACAGCCAAATAAATTGTGCAAATTGAAACTGAGACTGCTCCCTTGTGATTATTTTATGGAAGCCTTCATCTTGCTCTGTTAAGTTTGTCTCCGCCTCTTCTTTAAAATTGCTAAAGTAAGTGGCAATGTTTTGATAGTTTGAACCAAGCTTGCACCTCACATATATTAAAACTTAAGTCTTTTGTTCAAACCATACCTGTAATTACAAGAGTTTTCAGTAGAATTTTCATGTCAGCATTTGCTGCGGACGGGAGCTCCATGAGTTATTTGTCTCCTGAGGTTTTTATATCAATCAAAAAATTAAGGCAATCTTAGTCTGCAAAATTTATGATGGATTATGATTGTGAATTCTTGTGATTTCTGCAGGTCAAAGCTGTAAATGAATTGAATGAGCTCCTCAAAAACTGTACTTCAGAGTATGTGGCATGCTTTTTCATAAATGGAGATCTTATTGAGGCTATGGCAGAGTCCATGTCCTCTTGTAACCCCAAATTAATGAAGTAAGTATTTCCATATCCTTAAGTCAAAATTAAGCAAAGATGTCCTGGCAAAAAATATAACAACGGTGAAATTGTACAAATGCCTACTTATCTTGGTTGCGGTACTTCGAAATCTCTGCTCCTATTTTATTTTTTAAAAGGAGACAGAACCATCACCATAGCCTTGACCTTATCACGGAATATTCTTTAAAAAGTAAGTAAGTTAAAATCAATGAAAAATTATAAAATGACGTTCTGTAGTTATCTATGTAGAAAGTAAAGTATGAAAAGAAGTCTGCAGCTCGGCAAACCAAGATATGCATTTCTACAGTTTCACCATCGATAAGCACTAATGCAAGCCAGTTGATTATAAATAACCAAAGTGTGAAACCGCATATCGACGGTGAAACTACCAAACCACAAATCTCGGTTTGCGACGTCGCAGACTTCCTGTCATACTTTATTTTTTAAATGGAAAACTACTTAACGTCCAGTCTTATAAATTTCTGTGATCTTTCCTCCTCGTGCGGAGAAAATTCTGTGAAAATTTCAAGGAATGATATTGATTTGGTCTACTTCAAAAAAATAAAATGTGAGCGGAGATTTTTAAACACCGCAAGCGAGATACGTGGTTTGGTAGTTTCACCGTCGATATCTCCATTGTGGTGTTTCAAAACTGTCCCTGTTTCCTTTTTTAAAGAAAAACAAGCCAACTTTACACTTAGCTTGAAATTTTTTCAGAATTTTCTGCATATTGAGCAGAAAAATCAAAGCAGTTTTCAAAAAATTATGTTGACTAGCGCTTCAAAGAAGAAATAAGGTGACTGATGTATTGCATTACATATCTTTGTTTAACAACCAAGATGCCTTCATTAATATGATTCTCTTATGAAATTAAAATGAAACTAGGTAAACAAATTACGACAGGACTACAAGCTCTTTTCAAGTTTCAATATTTCTCCAGATTAAAATCAATAGCAACTTCTTTTCTTTTCTGAATTATGCCAAAAAAGTTAGTTACTCTTTCCACTTCGCAATTTTCATACCAACTCATGTGCGACCCTTTCCAAGAAATTTAGGGGCCACTGAGGTTTCTTTTGGGGGCCGAAATGTTCTTTACTGAAATGGTCTAAGTATGATGAGAACTGGATGTATTTTATCACCTCAGAATCGGATTCCCTCTAACTGATTACACATTTTCATAGATTTCCGTTACTCAATTGAATCCTGCCCGAGAAGTCATTAATCAATTTTAGTATCCGGATTAGAAAAGTTTGTCTAGATCCCAGCATTTTCATAGCTAGATGAGAGTGATTATTTAGGCGGTAACTTTGGCTGCAATTTCAATTATTTAGGCACATTTTTTGCATGGCTTCTGTTGGATTCAAACACTGATACCAGCTCTTTTGTGTGTAATTTATCAGTATAGTATAATTTTAATGAGCTGAGTGCATGTCCTTATCCAAAGTTGAAGAAAGAAAAAAGCTCAGGTGCTTTAAAGTTTTATGACTAGCTTTTACTGTTGCGAAAATTCTGATTAAAAGGCTGCATCAGAATGAGTCTCCAGTCAATTGCCTCCGAAAATAGGAGAAGGAAGAGGGCTTTCTTTCATTATTTCACTGACCCGTTCATTTCTCTCTTTGTCAGATCGATTTTTAGCTGGTTTTGGATTATTGCTAAGTCTGAAAAGTTCCTGAAACCCACGCAAGCAAGTTGCATCGTACAAACCTGTCTCCGCATTTATAGTGTGTCTCGAGGAAATCTTCCTCCAGCAGAATCAAATCAGATCACTCAGTTAGTCCTTCTGATCCTCCACAGGTATGACATCCTGGTATTTGTACCGAAAAAAAAGTAATATTCTGTTAATAATATTTTTTAGATATGCAACTAACGACAAATATGAGTATGAAACAACCTGATTTTACGAAGTTAAAGAATGCTTTGATTGCAAATCACTCAGTCTTCAAAAAGTTTATCCAAAGCCATAAGGAGTTTTCTTCTCACTACTAGAAGCCGGACCTTTCTCTCAAATTGCGGATGAATGAAAAACGGGAAAATGTCCGAGGATTGTATGGAGAAAACTGGACTATTCTCTTTCCGTTCAATTTTTTCAACCCATTGATTTTTGTAACTGTTTACTGCAGAGCAATTGTACACACATTGATGCTGCTAAATTGATTTAAGTAACCGTCTGTATTTAAAGAAGGAGTTATTGATACTTAAAAAGTGTAGAAATTGAGGAGCTGTAAGTGTATAGATTTAACGACTCGTAATATCAGCCCAACCACATCAGATTTTCTTACTACTCAATTTTTTTTTATGATATGTTTTTTAAACAGAAAACTAAGCACTAATGAATCTTGAAATTACATAATCATAGGCGCTCTTCATAATCTAAGGCAAATTCACCGACCGTCCAAAGGTATTACATAGTTTAGTTCTCTGTTCAAAAAACAAAACATGAGAGAAAAGAAAAAAGAAGTTGAATCCATGCAAATGATGACTAATTTTTTATTACTGTTGGAAGCGTCTCCACATTTCTGTCATTGTCGAAGCACATATGGAGTTACCATAAACACTTGGGTATTGATCAATCCGTAGACACGAAAGCTGCTCTTATTTTAGCCAGGGTTGTGACAGTCAGAGATTTTTTAAATTATGTTCATGTATTTACTTTGTAGAATGCTTTTAACGTTTCAAACAACAAATTTTGCATTAAAACTGTTTCAAATCATATCCTTTTTACCATTTAGCTTATCCACAAATGTTTGGGAATGTCACCAAAATGTGTGGGGGAAATCAGGAGAATGTCAGGAATTTCATTTTCTAAAGTCTGTGGCAATCCTATTTAATGCTGCAATATTATCATTACTTCTATCATGTTAACATTTTTTGTCTGGGAAATTATTTCAGACTGACCGAGGAAAAAGTGAAGATATCTCACATCTGCACTAACTCTCAAAAAACACTCATGCATCTATGTAAAGTCACCTTAAAATCGACTAGGAGCGACGATGACACCCTTTTAAATTGCTGTTTTGTGACGGTCGCCGTTTTCTCCGAAGGAATTGAATCGAACAAGGTTCCAGAAAAACAAACATTAAAGGTCCTCTTATTGACCTTGAAAAAGATCAAATTTGTCCTTTCCAACCAAAATTTGAGCAAAAATAGAAAATGGCACCATGTATTTGCTCTCCTTGGAGTCCTCTTACTGAGGTATGTGTCACTCATCCTCTTAAATTATTTCTTTCTAAGGCGCAGATTGTTTCATCAATCCTGGAATTATTTCACAGTTACTATGTATTTTCCATTTTACAAATCTACTTCATTAGTGCCTAAATCGTATCCTCATCTATATCCTTAAGTAGTTCAGTGTGCAATGAAATTGAATTTTTTCAAGATGCTTTTCCATTCATGGAAGTACTGAAATATGTAGCTCTGTCCCTTCGATTATGGCTGAATATCATGCTTTAAATGACCGAGATCCAGCTCCTGTTAGTTTTATGAAATATCTTGATTTGTATGTATCTCTTCCTTTCAAAGCTACTGTCAGTTGACTTAGATTTGAAAGCAGCAGAATTTTTGAGCTAAAACAAGATATAGAGGGGTGTTTTCAGTTTCTTCTGGGAATTGGACAGGACTGAAAAGAAATTCTGTTCCAAATTAAAACAGTTCTGTTGGACTTTCAACCACCCAGAGAATGTAGGTAATTTGTTAGGGGTACTTACAATTTCTAATCCATTTTCAGTACCAAGTGAATTGAGTCCCTGCTAATTATTCCAGATTTTTTTTGACTCAAAAAGAAGAGAAATCGATTTTGAAGCCTCCTAAATGTGGATCTATTTGAATTGATAATTTTGGCGGTTTGTAGTGATGTAGGCAGGCGAGGAAGTCCAATTTTGCTTTTTGGCTGAAGCCCAGCAAAAAACATGGCCAAGTTATGGCACTGCAATCGTCAACCTCTGATTGGTCAGATTTCAATCAGCTTTTTCTCCCTTTAGAAATATGTGACATTTTGAAACCTTTGAATAGACTTGAGTTTTTTCATGAATTTTTATGTTTGGAACAACGGTTGGATACTCTGCAGAATTGTTATGCCACTGGCCCATTGTGTTGGTGAGTTCGCAGTCAGCAATGATGTTACTTCAGCAGATATGCTGTGAATCTTAATATAAACAATAAAAAAATTAAAATCAAAATTACTTACGCATCTGCTTTCCCATTTTCAATTTTTATTTTATAAGGGCCGTTCAAGTATCATGTAGCGCACTCAGGGGGAGTGGGGTCAAGCCCAGCGTGACGTAAAAAATCTGAGCCGGATGAAGTAAAAAAACTTTGAAAAATATGTGCTAAAAATTGAAAATCCTGCCTATCGCGACTGAATAATTTTGGTGCATGACCCAGCCTACGCAATGCGCGTCGCTCTTACTCACCCCCTCCTCTATCCCTACTCCATCAGTCTCCACTCCAGTCCCCAGTCCATGTCTGAATTTCTTTAAAATTGGGGGGGGGGTA